GAGTTGAGCCGAGTCCCATGTTGCGTGCAGACATTATCAGGTTATCAGGGGACCCAAAAAATGTGTGCTCAGTCCGAGGCCGCAGATTGGCTCACAGGCCGTCGTCATCCATGCAGTCAGCACGAGTGCTCGTTGGCGGACAGTATACGATTGAGTATCTTGGATCACTGATGCATATAGTCGGTAGTCTCCGTCGGACTCCGATGTAAGTTCTATTAAGATAATATCATACAGGACTTTGGAATCGGAGGCTGGGTGAGGATGCTACCAGAATACAGCTACGCGTAAGAGGATCAAGTGCTCGCCTCATGATCCAGACGTGATTGCCTCGGTGTCGTATGACATGTCGGTCGGGGTCTGGAACACCAAATCGCCATATCCGCGACTTCAGAACGCGCAGCACCACAGCGAATTCGTGTTCAGCTTCGACTTCAGTCTCTTTTTAGATGGTTTGGTAGCTTCGTGCTCCTGGGACCGACAGGTAGCAGTGTGGAATTACTTCGGTGGACCGCCGCCATCGCCACTGCGCTAAGTTCGCATGTTTGCTGCTTAAGTTCGCAATAAACAAAATGATGGAAGCGTTTAATAACGGACATTAGTTGTGTATTTGAAAAGATAGATCGTCAGTCCCCGGTTGGTGCTGGACGCTTAGCAGCGCGTATTATAACATGAAATTATTGGCCCTTTAATTGCAGATTCACGCCACTTTTTTACTGGTACAGGATTTGCCTTCCCTCAAATGTTGTTTCCCCCAGCTGTGGAAGCTGGTTACCTGTCAATAACTAATAAACTGCAGAAAAGTACCCATAACGGTGAAACTATACTTAGGACCTCTTCACTTAAAATTGTAACAAGTCAAAAACAGCTGTAAAAGTGCTCGGATTAATCCTGCACTACAGTATTTCTACGTATTATACATTGTAGGACAAGAACACCACTACGGTGAAATCACATCCTATCAAGAGCGACTGGAGATCAAGATATACGAGCTCATTTTATCTACTGTAACTTAAAAT